CCATACAAGGCCAAAACCAGGCTACTCCCAGAAGCAACTATTGGTTATTAATTCACTGTCTCCTGTGCCCTCAAGCTGTGGTGACCACAGTGATGGACAGAGAATAGCTGCCCACCCCCAAGGAGACCATAATACACAAGGAGAACAGACCAGGGCTCCAGCAATGCAAAAAGAAAGAGGAAAGCCTGTGAGGGTAGGGTCGCAGAAGGCAGGGGGCAAGGGGAAAAGGCAGGGTACTTCTGTTTAGCTTCTGTGAGTGACCGGGAATCTCAGCTGGGAGAAATGAGTGGGACTTCTAGATGACTTGCTCAGAATCCTTTGGGGGACTCCTATTGAGGAACAGAAGAGAAAGTAGTACTGTAGAGCTGGCCTAAGGCACTGAACCAGGGAGGGCACCCCAGAAGGCCACCTCGGGGTAGTGTCCCGGCTCTGGTGTTTGCTGCTTCCCCCTATCCACACAAGTTCAGTCAGGCCCACTGTACCCAGGCCCCAAAGGAGAAATTCACCCTGTGCTCTTGGCCACAGACTTCCCTTGAGTATGAGAACACAGCCCAGGAAGCAAGAATCTGTTTTTAAAATAAACAACCTACTTGTACTTCCCCTCAACCCCTTCTTTATGTGCCCCTCTTGGGCCACTCACCCAAGGCTGCTTTTTCATCTGTGGTTTCTTTGCTGTTCATCTCCAGGTTTCAGGATCATTCATTCTCCTGGAGCCTCAGATTGAGGTTTATCTGAGGCCTGAGGGGAAAGGAAGTTGAGCAGCACTAGGCCTTTTCCTGAGTGTCTCAGTGCTGCCCTGCTAGCCTTTCTGGGAAGGAATCTGTGGCCCTCTAGGCCCACAGGGGAGCTGCTCTCCAGCAACCACGTGCACAGACGTTAGAAAATCTGCTCCAAATCTTGAGCAACTCCTCAGCTTTCTCTGCTCTTGGAGGAGGAGGGAAGGAGGTCTTCAGGGAAATGCAAGTCTGTAGGCTGGAATTCCCACACAGTGATAGGCCCAAAAGCCACTCTCAGTGGATGGGCAATGGAATGAACAGATTTTTTTTTTTCTTTAAATTCTGGGGATTTAAACTCTGGCTGGGGATTTTTAACTCTGGGCTTCATACATGCTAGGCAAGTGCTCTACTGCTGAGCTACAACCCCATCTCTGGCTTCCCTTGCCTGCCTTTCTTCAACTTGTAGGTGGTGTACGAGAAGTTGCAACAAGGACAGCCTCAACACACACATGCCCAGCCGTCTGTGGCCTCTAAAACAATTTTCCAACTCTGAAAGCTCCATAGACTACAGGGATGTCAACCTAAGAAGGCCTTATGTGGTCCGGTTCAATTATGACTACCTCTTTCACCCTCAGAAGTACCTTGGTTTGGATCATAAATTACTTCATCATCTTACCCCAAATCAGCATCAAACTCAGCACACCCCACAACGAAGAGGACAGCATCCACCCAAGGAAGAGGAGAGCATCCTGCAGAGAAGGCCTGGACCTACCTTCACCTCCTCCCTGCAGAGGCCTGTGAACTACACTTAGCTGTTGAGTGGCTCCTCTTTTTTCTGTCCCCACTGTCAATAATCCACTTCAAACACAAACAATTCTAGCAACCTCCTCTGGGTCCTCCCTGGGTTCAGCTTCCTTCTCCAATCCATAATTCTGCCAGTGATCTTTTTGAACCAGACTGAATCAACGGGCTCACTGTTCCCTGTGGAACCAATGAAAGCCAAACCCCTTCACGATCAGCCCCAGGAACCTTGCTGTGTCATCCTCTGCTCCCCTCCTCCTACCCTGGGCTTAGGGCACACTTGGTGGTCTGCTTGTGTCACAAAAAGCCCATGTTCCACTTGTCTTGGGATGGTTGTTCCTTCTACCTCCTCCTTCTAGTCTGATCTGACTCTTTTCTGCTGCCTTTTTTGACCTTCAACTCCATCATGAAACTGACCTGACTCTTCATTGTCTAGGAAGTCTTTCTTCATCCTCCCATCAGAAGTAATTGCTCCCTTTTAAGCTCTAAGAGGCCTCTGGTTTTAATACGTAGTATAGTTTCTGGTCTGTCAGCCACTGCACATGCACCTATGTATCCTGTTGCAGCAAAGACCCTGAGAGGTCTAGAATGCCTCTCTTACAATGCCTACAACCATGCTTGCTATGTGGAGTTTACTCTTAAATTTTTTATTTCATCATTTATTTGGTACAGGCTGTCGCTATGCAGCTCGGATTCATAGTGTCCTTCCTATCTCAACTGTTCAATACTACATTGCCCAATACATCACTTCCTCAATCCTGGTGACAATGGAAGTGATTTTAAGACAACCCTGTAACACTAATTCCAACATAGCATCTCAGGTGAGGGATTCGCAGGGAACTAAGTGCCCCTCCCTTTCCTCACTTGCCCTCTCCTCTTCAGGTCCTGCCACCTCGATCAAGGTCACACTCCATGAATTCTTCCCTTACAACCCTTTAAGTTCCCATCTCCTCATTTAGGACAAGACCACTATCACATTTGATGCCGTCTTATGTCATCTTTTGTACTGAGCTTACATCTGTGTTTGATGTCACAGGCAAGATGGAGGAGGGCGCAGATATGAGTCCTTGGCTCTATCTTTTACCAGCAGGATAACATGACCGTGCCCCTCTCCCTCCAGCTTAAAACCCTTGCACCCAGCTCCTTGGGGACCCAATGTGGTCAGAAGACATTCAGAATTAAGACACTTAGTGTTCCATTGCAGAAGGTTAACAATGACGAAGGAGCTAGATGCCCAAGGACAGGCTCCCAGCTCTCCAGAGCCTGCCGTGTACCAAATAGCTGAACCCCTCTTTCTTAGAGAACACATGACCAGAGGGGAAACACCACTACCCCCCACCAAACAGGACTGGGGGCCACAACAAATTAGGGCTCTCAGGGACCCAGAACCTCTTGCAACCTGACATTATGCCCCAGACAACTGGGCAAGTACTCCGATTCCATAAGCAAAGAAACAGCTAAGCGACGGCCCTCAGCCCCTGCCTGCCAGGACTCAGTTGCGAAGCCACTTCTGCCCCTCCCTACCCTTTCCTCTCGACCAGCACCAACTCTGGGGCCACCGTCCCCACCACAGAAGCCTGCCCCCGCCGGCCCACGCCCTACTCCCCACCACCTTCCTGCCCACCCATCGCCTGGGCTGGGCTGGGCGGGCAGGAAGGGAGGTGCTGGGCACCGGCCGTGAAGAACAAGGTTCTGCTGAGTTTCTGTGGACCATGGTCGCCACCGAGCCCTGGAGCCCGCGTCCAGGGACGGAGCTCTGGGACTACTCCGGCTCGGGCGAGCCGGGGGAGGAGTTGGAGCCGTGCCCGTCGTGGGAGCTGCCCTACAGCTACGCCTACGTCCCCGCGCTCTACCTGGCGGCCTTCGCCATGGGGCTGCTGGGCAACGCCTTCGTGGTGTGGCTGCTGGCCGGGCGGCGAGGGCCGCGGCGGCTAGTGGACACCTTCGTGCTGCACCTGGCGGCCGCCGACCTGGGCTTCGTGCTCACGCTGCCGCTGTGGGCGGCGGCGGCGGCGCGGGGCGGCCGCTGGCCCTTCGGCGCGGGGCTCTGCAAGCTGAGCAGCTTCGCGCTGGCGGGCACGCGCTGTGCGGGCGCGCTGCTGCTGGCCGGCCTCAGCGTGGACCGCTACCTGGCCGTGGTGAAGCTGCTCGAGGCGCGGCCGCTGCGCACCCCACGCTGCGCGCTCCTCGCCTGCTGCGGCGTCTGGGCCGTGGCGCTGCTGGCTGGCCTGCCCTCCCTGCTCTTCCGCGGGCTGCGACCCTTCCCCGAGGGCTCGGGCACCCAGTGCGGCGAGGAGCCTTCCGACACCTTCCAGGCGCTCAGCCTACTGCTGCTGCTGCTGACCTTCGTGCTGCCGCTGGCCGTCACCGTCTTCTGCTACTGCCGCATCTCGAGCCGCCTGCGCAGGCCGCCGCACGTGGGCCGGGCCCGGAGGAACTCGCTGCGCATCATCTTCGCCGTAGTGGGCAGCTTCGTGGGCTCCTGGCTGCCGCTCAGCGCCCTGCGGGCAGTCTTCCACCTGGCGCGCCTGAGGGCGCTGCCGCTCCCCTGCCCCCTGGTGCTGGCGCTGCGCTGGGGCCTCACGGTCGCCACCTGCCTGGCCTTCGTCCACAGCTGCGCGAACCCGCTCATCTACCTGCTCCTGGACCGCTCCTTCCGCGCGCGGGCCTTGCACCGGGCCTGTGGCCGCGCCGGCCGCCAGCTACCCAGGATCAGCTCAGCCTCTTCGCTCTCCAGGGACGGCAGCTCCGTGTTCTGGGGTCGCCCCCAGACCCAGAACGCTGCTTCGGCCGCCTGGTAGCTCCCCCACTAGCGGGTGGAGAGCGGTGTGGCGGGGGCGGGCAGCAGCGGAGCGACCAGAGAGGGTGATCGGGATCCCGCACAAGTCTGCTCACAAGCTCCTCCATAAGCGTCCCTTGAACCTCAGAGTTATTTGAGCACCCCCACTCCACCCCGCCCCAAACCGCATTGCTGAGACTCGCAGTTCTCTCAGCTCGGTGGGCACCTGGGCCAGTTGTGTCCAGTCAAAGCTCTCATGAGATGGGGCAGAAAGCAGCCTCACAGGGACACCGAGCCGAGAAAGGGAAGTGGATTTCCTGCTCTGACCATTCCGCACAGGACCAAACTGAACATCCAGCTCGGATTGCCAAAAGTCACTGCTGTCTCTGGCTGTGGTTTCTCTGGTCCCCAGTCTTGGCCCTCTGAGAACTTCCTGCTCCAAATCAGACCCTCCAGCCCTTTCATTTGCAAAAATGTCTACAAAACGGGAGAATCGACAGGACTTTTGTACAGAGCTCTTTGTGACCACTGTGCTTTGTCATTAACCATCATCAGTTCATATTTTCATTCTCAAACCTCCAAAGTCAAGGGAACCAGCCTCTGTGAACCGCCTAATTTGTTTCTTCTGATGAGTGCCACAGAAGTGACACCCTGCCCTAGTGACCCTTCTTCCCTGTTTGGCAAAGTGGCATGACTCACCCTAGAAATTGGGGTCTTTCTTTCCTCACAGATCCCGAATCTCTCATGAGGCCTTCAAAATTCCCCCTTATTCAGTCAAAGACTTCAGATTCATCCCTGGGAGCTCACTCTTCTCAATAAACACTTTTGCTAGACCTCGCTTGATGACTGCATCTTTGTTGAGCAGTGAGATTGTAATGACTGTGGGGAGGTCAGCCACAGGCTGTCAGACAAGAGTCAACCCAGGGGCTGAGGACAACTTCAGGATGAGGAGGGTTTGTGTGATGTGGGCCCAAAGAGCCACCTGCACGTGTGTGGGTGCAGCCATCCCCGAGGAGGGCAGCAAATTGTTTATTTGCATTATTTCTAAGGGCATTTCACATTTTGAAGGTTACAGAATGGGGGAAAAAAAAACTTGCAAAGGCGTCTGCCTGCCAGGTACCACTTCAAAGGGGAAAAGTACTATTTTGATTCTCAGTTATGTACTGAATCTTTTTCCTACCGGTTGAGAGAGCTTCTGTCTGATACAAATGTTTGAGGTTAGTGTTTGCTGACTGCTTTTTCCTTTGAGGATTCTGGAAGCTTCAAATATTCTCTTTTTTACTTTTTTTTTTTTTTTTTTTTGAGGACGGGGGTACAGAGTCTCATTGCATAGATCAGACTTGTAGTGATCCTACTGTTTACAGCCTCCCAAGTGCTGGGATTACAGGTGCACACCACCACACCCAGTCTCAATCACCGTCTCAGCACACTAGGGGTGGGGAGGGCATGGCAGACCTGGAGATTGAACTCTGCCTACACAGGTGTTTTAATCCACTGAGTTGTTTGGCCTGCCCTTTCTTTGACACTTTTTTCTTTCTTTCTTTCTTTTTTTCTGGCAGAACGGGGGATTGAACTCAGGCCCTTGTACTTGCCAGGGAAGCGCTTATTCCACTGAGCCATCTCCCCGGCCCCTTCTTTTACACTTTTTTTTTTTTTCCCAGAACCGGGGATTGAACTCAGATCCTTGCGTTTGCCAGTCAAGCGCTTATCCTACTGAGTCATCTCCCCGGCCCTTTCTTTTACACTTTTGACCCAAGAGGATTTAGCCTAAAAACATTTTGATTGCTGCAGGGAACAGAATCTGATTCTTCTATTCTTTTCTTTTTTTATTTATTTATTTTATTTATTTGTGTGTGTGTGTGTGTGTGTGTGTGTGTGTGGCCAGCTCAGCCCGCCTGGGGTAGGGGTTGGCTGGCATGTGGTGCTGGGGGATTGAACCGCGGTCCCTTTGTTTTGCTAAGCTTGTTCTAAGTAGGTGCTTTAGACCATTGAGCCATCTCACCAGCCCCGATTCTTCTATTTTTGACTACCTTGTCCTGGCCAACCCCCACAGCTGGGCATGAAGTGCAGGCTCTGGGGAGATGCCCACAACTCAGCACCTCTGCACTACGATGCCACCCAGCTAATACCACAGCAGTCTCTTCCACATCTGGGGTGTTGAGTTGGAGCAGGTTGAACAACACAGCCCATCTTGACCAGGCTATCAAAAAGTATATTAGTGCAGGCTGCCTTGTCTATTCAGAGAGAGACAAGCCTAGCAGCTCTGGGTCACCGGGGCCAACAGGATGAATTTCTGACTCTTGCTTATTGGAGAGCTCAGTAATGTCATGGGCCTTGCCATTCTCACTATGGCTACCTGACATAAGAAGTTACTTGTTTCCTGTGGAAGAGGGCCCCACAGCTTCTAGAACAGGGGGCTGCCCCTTGTCTAGGTGTGTGACAAGATGTCAACTTCTAGAGAAAGTGTTTCCCAAGTGTCTGTTGGGTCCAACTTCCTACCTTTACACCGAGTTGTCTGTACTTACTAATGGAGCAGGACAAGAAGGAGGCTTCTCCATACATGAAGGTTTTCACCCCTTCCTGAAGTAGTTACATAAACTCAGCACCTCCCTCCTACCAAAGAAGGCTAGATATGGAGACAAGTTCCTTCCCTTTGAGAAGATCATTGACTTTGACTATCATGTGTCCCTTGGAAATGTTCTTTCATATCCAGATGAGAACAAGCTCCCATTTCCCACCCGGAGAAGATAAGGCATAGATGCAGAAACTGGCTAAGTGAACGTTTCCACCTCTGCTACTGATGGGAGTATAAACAGTGGACTGTTTTTGAAAGCAATTGATCGATCTACATCAAAATCTTTAAAAATGCTCACATCTCATTGGGTGTGGTGTTACAGGCCAGCCACTCAGAAGGCTAAGACAAAAAAGATCATAATTCAAGGCCAGCCTGGGTACCTTAGTGACACCCTGTCTCAAATTAAAAAGAGCTGGTGACATAGTTCAGCGCTCCCTGGGTTTGATCCCTAGTATTTAAGGAAAAATAAAAAAAAGAAAGAAAAAAAGTTTATACCTGATTCCTCCCTTGGATGTTTGTGCCCTTGAACCCTGTAATTTTTTTTTGTCTCTGTATTTAGTACAGGGTCTCACTACGTAGATTGGACTGTAGGGATCCACCTGTGTTCAGCCTCTGAAGAGCTGGGATTACAGGCGCACATCACCATGCCCAGTCTCAATAGACATCTCAGTGTGCTCCAGGGACAGGGCCAGCATGGTATTCCAGGGATTGAACCCCAGCCACTGCACTCTGCCTAAATAGGCAATTTAGTCCGTGTTCTGTAATATTGATTCAAAATAAAAATATATAATTCCCAACCTGTTGAATGTTAGGTGTGCCAAGCTCATGGTCTCACAGCATGGAGGTCCAGTCAAGAACCAAAGAAGAAAAACTAGGAGAGTTTAACTGGAAATAAGAGGAAGAAAAAGAGCTCCTGGGTTTCCAGGAGGGGTCCCAAGTGGGTGCCCTTTATTAGCACTGAAGCTCTTGGTCAGAGATTTTTTTTTTTTTTAAGAGTAGAATATTTTATTGGGAAAGAAAGCTTCTGTCTCAGAGAGGACAGAAGGGGGACGCGAGCAGGTTGCCCAGGAAGCTGTCTCTTTCAGTTTATTTTTATAGAGCAAAACCATGCAGGGTTAAGGTAGAAAGGAAGGGGTCTCACTTAGGTGGATGTGGGGTGGGACGAAACTATGGTCAACCAATGGGATTGCAAGCACCCTTGCTCAGGTAAAGTCGATTATGCACAGGGCCAAATGGGGAAGCGAGTCACAGAGTAAGCGGGCATGAATACAGGACAGAGTCTCTTCCTGTTGGGGGCTGGGCTGGTGACTCACTTGGGTCTTTTCAGGTGATCGATACCTATTTAGAATATCAATCCCAGGTGCTACTCTTTTAGCATTTGTTTGGCCTTTAGTCTTTAGGTCTGGCTCACAGCAGGAGCATCCGCCCCTCCCACAGTTGTAAGGCGTCTCATCTTCTGTGCTGTCTCCTTCGAGGGCCTGGCCCTGTCTGACTGCCTATAATATTTCTATCTAACTCGGTTGCCTGCAATATTCCCCTTTGGTCAGGGATTTTTATACAGCAAAATCACAACGTGGGTCAGACTAAAATCAACCTACAGGATTACAAGTAGTCAGCTAGTATTGATCCAGTAGGAAAAAGAGTTGTGCAGCAAGGAAAAAATAAAGGCATTTGGGGGAAGGAGTAGGGCTAGATGTTCTTGTCACCAGTCTGTGTGTCTCAAGCCTAGCTGGGCCCACTGGGCCAGGTAGTGCTGTCTAATGTCCAATTGCCATTTTATCTCCAGGGTGGCTTACAGCCCAGGATACAGCTTCTCCACTGTGAGGCCTGGATCTCCAGATTTGCCTCCAGCCAAATTCTGATGTCCTCATTTTTTTTTTTTTTTTTTTGTCCTGACTTCCTCAAGAGTCCAGTGCCTCTCTGACTGCACATTAATTTCTATCTATCTTAGGGTCCAGCCTAAGATATTCATATTCAAGAAGATATAACACTATTGTTGAACATTTAGATTGTTTCCTTCTCAATTTTTTCTTCAGTGCCATGGATTAAACTGAGGAGCACTCTATTAGTGAGCTACATTCCCTTAGTCCTTTAGTCTGCTTAGGGCTCAACGGGCTGAAGTGCCTGCTTAGGCAGAGCACAGTAGCTGGGGTTCGATTCCTGGCATGCCGTGCCAGCCTGATTGAGACTGGTAATGGTGGCGTGCTCCTGGAATCCCAGTGCTTGGGGGGCTGAAAACAGGAAGAGTCCAATCTACATAGTGAGACCCTCTACACCCTGTCGACCCCATCCTAAATACAGAAGAAAAAAAATTCTATGTATCTTAGCTGTCTATAATAACTTCAATGTTGCTACTCTCTTCTAATACAATAATGCTAAATAATAAAAGTTTGATGCACTGAATTAGAGAAGTTCTCAAAGATTTAAACCTGGAGCAAGCACAGTATACATGCCTATAATTTAAGCTACTTGGGAGGCTGAGGCAGGAAGGTGTGCAGCTAG